GATTCCCGGTCAGGGCACATGCCTGGGTTGCAGACTGCAGCTGATCAATGACTCTCTCATCATTGATGTTTCTCTCTCCCTCTCTCCCTCTCCTTTCCTCTCTCTGAAATCAATAAAGATATATTTAAAAAAAAAAAAGAAACATCAATGACAAGCTCAATGACAAGAGAGTCATTGATCGGCTGCCTCCCGCACGCCCCCGACTGGGGACCGAGCCCTAAGCCGAGCCTGTGTCCCGACCTGGAATCCAACCCTGACCTCCTGGTTCATTAGTCGATTCTCAACCCCTGAGCCACACCGGCCGGGCCCCGGGGACTTTCTATACAACTTCCACCCAGCTGGCACCGGGTCACAGGGTCTGGGGTCCGGGATGCCCAGGAAACGTGCGGCCCTCTCCCAGCACAGCACACGAGCTGTCCGAATGGTTCAGGCCCCTCTGCCGCCCGCGGGGTGCAGACCCTCCCCCGCCGGGCGCCCCCGCTTCGGGGCAGAAGAGCCCGCGGCCTCGCAGTGACCCCTCCAGTCAGGCGTGGTCCTGCGTCGCCACCTGGTGGCCGCCTGGAAAACTGCCATCCCAGGGGTGGGGGGCAGAGAAGAGGGTGAGGAGTGGGGTCTCCCCCAGAGGAGCTGGGTCCGGGTCCCCGCCGTCAGCCCCGCAATCCCAAGGACGGCGCGGGGCGTTAGACCCCACAAGACCGCAACTCTGACTCCATCAGAATTCTCACCCTGACTGGTCCCCATCGCATTTCTGATCAGACTGAAGCCCAAATTCGGGCGCGCCTTTAGGGGCCCGGAGGGGAGTCGCTGGACCCAAAGGTGAGGGCCCCTGTTTTAACCTGTGGTTGTTGGCCCCGCGCACCTGGAGACGACCCGCAGAGATGGCGGGAGGAACGGGTGGCCGGGCAAGATGCTGCTGGCGCGGGGCAGGGCCAGCGTCCTCAGGAAGGGATGCTGCGTTACCCCGGAGTCCTTCAGCACTGTAGGACACCCCAGGATACCCTCCAGTCCCCGCGCGGCAGGACACCCCATCCCAGTGCTGCAGGACACCCCCAAGGACACCCCCATCCCGTGCTGCAGGACACCCCCCAAGGGCACCCCCATCCCAGTGCTGCAGGACACCCCCCAAGGGCACCCCCATCCCAGTGCTGCAGGACACACCCCCAAGGACACCCCATCCCGTGCTGCAGGACACACCCCCAAGGGCACCCCCATCCCAGTGCTGCAGGACACCCCCCAAGGACACCCCCATCCC